CAAAGCTCTTTTAGCTCTGCTGTTAAGTGCCCAGAGGCACCCAACTCTGCCAGTAAGCCTCGGCCTGAAGGCACTCAGCTTTCTTGCTGTGTGAGTTGGCACACCCACCCCTGTCTCCTGTCGGTCTCCTCGTTCTGCTGCCTCTGCTGCTGCCGCTTCTCGCCGTCTATTGCCGTCTCTCCAGTGTTGCAGCTCTCTCTCTCTCTGTCTCCTGGGTCTAGGAGGTTCCCAGCGCAGGGACCCCGGATCCAAAGGATGTGGTCCACTCTGGCTCTCTTTGCTTGATGGTCAGGTGGTCCCTGTCTGCCTCTGGCATGGCTCATTTTAAGCCTAGTGGAATGGCAAAACTGACCAATCCCCTGGTTAGGGTTCCGTATACCTTATTTGCATAGTCCCCCAAATAAGATTCAAGGGTGCCATGAATTTTATTTGCATCATTATTGGCAAGCTGTCCAATTCCCTTGGTAGGACACAAGCACTTCATTTGTGCAGTCCCACCCAGTCATTTGGTAGGAGTTACAAAGACTATGGCTAGAAGGGCCATATTAAGTAATTCAGTGTACCGCAGGTAGGGTCTGGGAGATTCCGGATGGCTCAGAGAAGGGCTTACAGTCATTTCTCTGCTTCTAAGGATTCCATGCTAAAGAACCCTCATGGGGGGTGGGGTGGGGCATGGCAGTCGGCTTCCAAAGAGATTGCAAACTTCACTTCCTATCTGGAAGCGAAAGTTTAAAAGCTATGATAACCCTTTTAGCGGTTGGTCTGTTTTCTTCCCTGATTTCAGAAAAGGGGACTGTGGAGACAAGGAAGAGGAAGGGGAATCCCCTGGCAAGGGGCCAGCTCACAGAGCTCCCCTTTGTGGTTGCTATGGAAACAGGCATAATAGAAACGAAACAGAGGCACGTTGCATGGCAACAGAGGAGCCCAAGATTCATCACACCTACGCACAACACATAACATATCAGGGAACCCCTGGAGAGGGAGCGTCATTTTCTGGAAACTGGGGTATCCCGGTGATGATGAGTCCTAGAGCTCACCTCGCCTTGCCAGCCTCGGAAGGGGTGGTAGAGTGCCAGGGGGAGGACTAACCTTCTCCCTGATCCCTGGCTTACGAGAGAGCAGCCTTTATTTTGGCAGGAGAATCCGAAACCTTTGAGAAGACACTGGTTGTCTTTGCAAACCTGGGACCTAGGGGACTCCTTACAATTAAACATGTGTGTGTGTGTGCGTGTGTGTGTGTGTGTGTGTGTGTGGGAGCGCGCACGCGTGTATATAGTGTTGTAAAAAGACCTGGTAGAAAAGGTAATGTTTAATTTGATCAAAAAGCTTAGGACCTGCAAGAAACTCAGAACACAAGCTAAGGGGCATCAGAGACATTTCCTTTCTGCACTGAACACCTTGAGGTCAGGGATGTCAAGTTCTCTGTGACCTGCACTACCACCGCCACCACCACGAGTGCCTGGCCCAGAGTTGGGGACACAATAAATGTTTGTGCAACTGCATGAGAGACTGACAAGCCAGGGGCTGAATCCCTGGGGACTGAGAGCTGGGAGCTTTGACAGCTTGGGTACAGGATGCTATTGTGAAAAGAGCAAGAGCTTTGGGGGCTAGTTCTACCTGGAGTTCATGCATGCATTTCCTAGAATGTTCCTGGGCGATTGCTCTGTACTAGCCACTGCTCTAGGCGCGGGGCATACAGCAGAGAACAGGAAGTCCCTGCCCCCATGGAGCTGAAGTGCTATAGGAGCTTTGCCTCCTGCTTCTTGGAGTTGTGTGACTTTCGGTAGATCACTAACCCTTGCTGACACCATTTCCTCATCAGAGTGCCTCCCCCCCAGGCTGTCGGAGGATTAAATGAGCTAGCATGTGACAGTGTTTGCTACGATACACACACAATCGCCATTCAGCGGGTATTAAGTAGCTTGGTGGTGGTGATGTGGGGAGAGCACTATGGCCATGGGCAGAAAGAGAGGCTTGGCAAAAATTTCTAAAAGTGTGTGTCTCCAATTACACAACTGAAAACTTTTGAAAACATTCCCCTTCCCTGGGCTGAGGAGAGGTCCCTGGGTGGCTCAAATGGTCTGTGCTCTGCTACCAACCTAAAGATTGGCGGTTCAAACCCACCCAGTGGCTCTGAGGAAGAAAGGCCTGGTGATCTGCTTCCCCAAAGAACTATGGAGCAGTTCTGCTCTGTAACACATGGGATTGCCATGAGTCGGAATCAGCTTGCTGGCAATGGTTTTTTTTTTGTGTGTGTGTTTTGAGTTGAGAAGCCTGACCTCGGAAACTTCAGCTCTGGGTCCAGCAGGCCCTGCCAGGCTATGACCATGGTTTTTTAGGGGCACAGTCTATACCCCCTAGCCTGGACTAGGGTGGAGCCAGTCCCCAGAACCACCCTTGCCAAGTATCTTGACACTCTTAACCCCCAATGAAATACCTGGACAGCAATCCCTGCTCTGCAGTGGCTCCACAAAGCAGCCTCTCCTGCCTTCTTCCCTGTTGACCAAGAAGGTGGCCAGAACAAACAATGGAGCAGATAAGTTGGCTCTCAGCCTGGGAAGCTTGCCTCTGCTCATTTGCTGGAGGGAGGCTGAGATGAGCCCCAGCTGAGGTGAGGGTACAACATCCACTCTTTCCACATCCTTCTTCCTTTCGTGCTCCAGCCCCTTCCCTCCAAACTCCCTGGCCCTTTTTGAAGATACCCCATGTCTGTGTGCCATATGTCACATCATAGCCATCTTTCTGAAGATCTAGGTGTAAGTCAACTCCCATTTTAATAAAGTTTGCTCTTTCAAGGGACCAACAGATGATTCATTTCATAAAGTTAAAAAAATCCTTTGGTCAACTGTTAACCGTGGTTAACCTTGTCAACCATTTTGCGAGAGGGACTGGGAAGGAAGAGGGAGACGTTTGCTTTTTATCGTTCTACCTTTCTGTGTTGTTTAAATTCTTACCATATGTAGGTATTGATTTCATTAAAAAAAATATCAGCAGAGATTATCTGGTTTGTAGGATTACATACCACTTTATTTTATCTTTATTCTTGGCCTACATTTAAAAAACTGAATGAATAGTGAAAATGAGATAAAATTTAAAAAGCTGTCGGTAAAGGAAGAAAATAGCTCCTGGTTTTTATTTTTAAAAGAGATTCCTGGGTGGCACAAATTGTTCGTGCTAAACTACTAACGTAAAGATCGGGGTTCAAACCCATCCAGTAGTGCCATGGAAGAAAGGCCTGGCAATCTGCTTCCGTAAAGATTACAGCCAAGAAAACCATATGGAGTAGTTCTACTCTGTAGCACACGGGGTTGCCTGCCATGAGACAGAATCGACTCAGCAGTGTGTTCCTTTTTTTGATTTTTTTAATTAAAAAAAAAATCTCAAGGTTAAAAAGTTAACATTTTTTCTTTAAGGTGGATGAGAGGAAGGGGGGGCAGAAGAAAATGGGGAGGAGGTAATTCTTAGGAGGGTCTGGGTCTATGACTGTCTATTTGTGATGTTAGGGGGTGGGCTGCCTCTGCCGTAGGTTTGAGTCACTATCATACCTGTGTGTGTGTGTGTATGTGCATGAGTGTGTGAATCCTGGTGCCCAAGTCTCTGCTTTCACGTGTGTGTCTGCATGTCTCTGCCTGTCTGAGTGCCTACACATGCGTCTCCACCTTTCTGTGTCCATTATAGGAGTGTCTGCATGTCTGGGGCTTCTGCTGTCTCTTCCCTCCCCCACGGCCTGTACCCTAGGCCGGTAACTGGACCTGGGACACAGCCCCCAGGGCTGGCAGTTGCGTTGGCTGCTGGGTATTTTTAGCCTGTAAACATGTTTGCCATTTCAGAGGACAGGGCTGTGCTGGTCGCTGGTGTCTTTCCAGCCCACTCACGGTCTTGCAGTGAGGAGGGTGCCGCTGCCTCTGGGCAGGTCTCCTCAGTTCCCCAGCCTGGGGTCTCCCTCCCCTGTGGCTTGGAAAGGAAGGAAGTGTGTGTGTGTGTGTGGGGGGGGCACCTAGGAAGACAGATAAGAGAATTCATCAGGGAGAAGAGAAAGGGGACGTGGGGGGAGGTGTGTAGCCAGAAGGCCCTTATACCCCATCATTAAGCACTTAATAAAATCTCCATGTAGTTAGAAGTGACTGTGGGAAATGACTATAAATTTGGAACCTAAGCATCCTGCAAGTGGGGAGGTGGAGGAGGGGCTTTAAGAGGGGTCTGAGAAGGAGTGGGAAGTCAGAGGAGAAGGGAGCTCCCACATCTTTCAGGGGGTCTAGAGAGGAAGGGGTCGGCTCCTGGTCCTGGGACCTGGGTCCTGCGTCCTGGGTTTGACTCCTGGATCCGGGTCTGTCTCCTGGGTCTGGGCCTGACTCCTGGGTCTGGGTCCTGGGTCACTGCAGCAGCCATAGCAGCACTATGGGGTGTCGTGACCCTCGCTGCAGGAGGTGGGGCCAGCATTTCCAGGCCGGCTGTCTGCGGGGAGGGGCTGAGGAGGGGTCCCCAGAAGGATAGAAGGTGAGAAATGGGCGTAGCTGCGTGGAACTTGGGAACCAAGTTAAGACACTGGGAACTGGGATTTGAAGCAGACTTGTCTGTGTTGAGAGAAAACTGAAAGGTTGGTGTCAGGCTGCAAGTCGCGGCTTAATCACCCCAACACTCCCCCACCTCGTCCGCTTTCTGGGCCCCTAGGCCCTGCCTGCAAAATGGGGTTGATTCGCAGTTCCAGCTGTAGGGTGAGCCCCAGGGAGCTTCTAGGAGTTTCTTGCCGCCGAAGCCACACACAGTACATACGGGTATAGCTCCAGGCCCAGGACAAGACACGGGGCAGTGGACAGGAGGAGGGACCTGCCGGCGCCCTCTCGTCCTCGCACCCCCCGGTGGGCCTCCCCAGCAGCCCGCTCCCGGGGTCCCTCCAGCGTCGGCCCGGTGGCTCGGCCCGGCCCCGTTCGGCCCCGCCCGGCCCCGCCCTCTCCCCACGGCTCGGAGCAGACCCGCCCGCCTGAGCCGGAGTTACAAGAGCCGCCTCCGCGCGCGGGGGCCTGGCCACTCGGAGCAGCTCCGCCGCGGGGACTGCACCGCCCGCCTGCCGGACCCGCCCCACCCGGGCTCGCCGCGCCAGCAGCCGCCGCACCGCGATCTCAGGCCCCCGCGGGTGATGGCCATGCCCTGGGGCTGAGCGCACAGGTAGGGGCGCGGGGCGCGCCGGGCACCGCCCGCGGCCGGGCGCCGAGAACGGGAGGAGGGGGTGGCAGGGCTCGGGCTAGGCGCGGTGGAGGGAATGTCACTGTGAGGTGTCGGGCCGTTTAGAGCTAGCGGGGCCGCCCGGGGCTGCGCGGGAAGTTGACGCGTCGCGCCCTGGAGCGAAGCACAAGTTGGGCAAAGTTGGAAAATCGCTCCGAAGCGCGCTGCGCTGCACTCCATCTTCCCTTCGCGGGTGAATTGCTGGCCCCACCGCGCGGCGGGGCGCCCCGGTCTCGCTCTGGTGGCCGTGTTCCCACTCCCTCCCTCTCCACGGGCTGTGGCTCGGCGTGCGACTCCGTTCCAATCCTGTTTACTGGCGGCGAAGTTTCCGAGATCGCCGCCGCTGCCGGCCTCTCTTGGCGCTCCGCGCCCCAGCGCCGCGCGCCGCTCGTCTGGCCTTCCCCGCTGCCGGCCCCCTTCGCGTCCGGAGTCCTGCGGCCCCACCCTGTTCTGTACCACCGGCCGCTCCCTTCTCGCTCCTGGAGGCTCCTCAGCCCCCCTCCGCTGCCCCGCCCTGGTCTTGCCCCTCCGTGTTCCCGGCTCCAGAAAACTCCCCTTTCCCTCTCGGGCCGCGGAGCCTGTAAGTTTGCAGCGCGCCGCCCAGCGGGACGGGTGGGGTGGGGGTGGGGGATATAATTAGGGAGATTCCTGCGCCAGGGTGGGCGGGGAGGTGGGGGCTGCGCGGTGGCCCAGCCCTCGGGACCGCCCCTTCCCCTCCAGAGGCGGTGCTCGCGCCCCCACCCCACTCCCAAACCCGTCCGGGCGGGATGGCCCCCGCCCCAGCGCCTGGCGCGGCGCCAGTAGCCTGAGGAATGTGGTGGTTGGAGCCGGTGACTAATTCAAACCAGAACTCGGGGAGGAGTAGTGAGGGGCAAAGGAGAGGGGGAAGGGGCTATGAGGGGGAGGCGGGGGCGGGAACAGGGCTTGGCGGAGGAGGAGGACGAGACTGCCCTGGCTGGAGCCCCGCAACCCAGCAGCACGCCTGGAGAGAGGGGCGAGGGGCGAGGCCCTGCCCGGTGTTGGAAAGGCAGTGTGCTTAGGGTGTGTGCAGAGAGCTGGGTTATATAAGGCTTCCCACGCAGGGAGAGGGTGTGCAGTGTGCAGGGCCTGGCCAGCCCCTGGCAGGGCTGGGCGCCCCCTGCAGTGCCCGGCCAAGAGTGTGGGGAGGAAGTCCCTGGGCGGCGCTGGCCACGGGGGCGTGCGGGGCCAGAGCCGGGCTGGCTTCCCCCTTGCATGGGAGGGGAATGGAGGGGGCGGATGGGAGACCTCACAGCTCTAGCTGAACCCCAAACCCCAGCTACGCCGTGACCACAGAGGATTGTGTGTGGTGTGCTGGTGGGTTTCAGTGTGGGCCAGGTCACAATGGGGTGGTGATAAGGTGCTCCCAAGGAGCTGCAATCGCTGCTGAGCGCTGAGCGCTGAGCGCCCTGCTCTGTGGGTGGACTTGTGGAAAGACAATGTGGCGTCCTCCCATGGGAGTGGGATCTTTAGAGAATGATCTGTAGATTCGGAGGAAGGAGGACCCGAGTATCTGCCTGGTGGTGCAAGCAGTTTGCTATCGGCTGCTAACCGAAAGGTTGTCCGTTGGAGCCCACCCAACAGCTCCACGGAAGAAAGTCCTGGTGATCTACTTCTATAAAGATCACAGCCAAGAAAATTCTATGGAGAAGTTCTATTCTGTAACACATGGGGTCACTATGAGTTGGAATTGACTTGATGGCAACAGATTTTTTTATGTCCTCAATACAGCGCTGGGCACACAATAATTGCTTTGAAACAGCCTCGTCTATTAGAACCCAGGCCCCCATTCTGCGTGCCCCTCCCAGCACAGCCTGGCACATGATAGGTGGTGGGCTGATTTTGTGGGATGCGGCGATGCGGTAGGGGGTGGGGTTGTGATCGGTGCATGTGGTGGAGGAGATTGAAGATGCCCTGGAAGGCATTTTAGGACTCCCCCTCCACCTATACGAGTGTAATTTAGGGGGGTAGACTTCTCTTCCATCCCCCCAACCCCAGGAGGGAAATCCCTGGGGCAGGGCGTGGCACTCACTTCCTCTCTGAATGGGGCAGCTTCCTTCTCTGGCCTAGTGGGATGATGGGGCTGGGCCAGCGCATGGTGGTTAGGGTGTGCACAGTGGGGAGTACAGGGCGCCCCAGGCTTAGGAGTGGCCCCTTGTTCTGAGTTGTGGGCCGTGGGGTGAGTGAGGCTGGTAGAGGATCTGGGAACTTGAGAGCTAGACTGGCAGTTGATGCAGGATCTGGGGGTGGGATCCAGGCCATGGGAAATGGGGGCTGGAGGGTACTGAGCCCCTCCCTAAAGCCCCTGTCCCCAGTGGGTTATGTGCAGGGTCACTGGGCAGAGAACAAGGTCACGCAGGGCACCACGGAAGTCACATGGGGCTCAGGGCTGCTGATACGGAGGCTGCAGCAGTGATTCAGGGTGCTGGGCAGTCACTGAAGAGCTGGAGGACTGTGCCAGCCAGGCCATGGTTCAGGGGGCACCCCAGGTCCGGGGCGAACCACGGGAGCCCTAGGTTTCTAGTGTGGAGGGAGAAGGCCAGCATCAGTCAAGGGCAGGGAATGGACTGGGGGGCTGGGGGTCACTTCAGTCCCAGTACAGGCCCTGGATGGAGGTGCCTGGGCACCGCCAGGCAGGGTTCTTTTGCTCAACTCGGAATTGGCTGGCTGGCCTGTCAGAGCATATCATCCCGAGCTTGAGCAGCTGGTTTGAGGGGTTGGGGCAAAGCGGGGGCAGAGGGGTGTGTGGGGCTCTGAGGTGTGGTCACCGCCTTCCTTGGAACTTGGGAACTGCCTGGGGACAGGCAGACTGGGAGAGCTAGTCTGACGCCTGCTGGGAACTCTGCTGGGTCTTTCCCCCACCACTCCCAGACACCCCCAAGTTTCTCTTTCTGCAACACGGCTGACCGGGTGCTCGTGCACACTGTGGTTTGAGAAAGGTAGGTGGCCGCTGGAGAAGGTTGAGAAGGCGCTGGTGGCACTGCTGCAGTGTCTGAGGACTTCTGCTCTCTCTTCAGCTCCCATGGGCTTCATCCAGACTCCACAAGAGCTGTATTTCCCGAGCTCGGCCCCACCAGCTGGGCAGCCAGGCCTTCTTGAGCACGCACAGTTTCCTGCCATGCCTGGGGGTGCCGGAGGGGGCATGGGGGCCATGTGGTGGGCCACAGGAGGGCTCAGCAGGAATGGCTATGTTGGTGTGCGTGCTGATGAAGCCCCCCTCCCTGCTGGCCTCAGCTCCTCCAGAGCTGAAGCTGTTGTCCCTCAGGGTCTTGGGTCTGTCACTGTTAGTGTCCCAGGGATCACTGTATCATAGTGGGCTTGGGTCCCTGCGACCGACTGTGTTCCCAGCCGCAGGTCACTGAGCGTGGAGTGTATGTCATGGCCAGTGAGAGGGTGCCCGTTGGTTGTGCATGGTGGTCATGGCATGGTGGTGCATCCGGGTGTGTTCCCTCTGCCTGTGTCCTGGGGCTTGAAGGGGGTGGGCGGACGGCACTGGCACTGTGCCCTGGGCTGGTTGAAGATTCAGGGGGTGTGTGGGGGCTGTAGATAAGGGCTGAAGCGAGTTTCTCTGTCCAGGACAGGTTGGGTCCCTGGAGCTGGTGTCCAGAGGCCCGCGCAGTGTGAAGCAGCGCTGCACACAGCCTGTCAGGGAGGGGCATCCTGCCCTGTCCCCGGGGGCCAGAGCGGAGGTTCTGGGGGAAGGGGAAATGCCTGGAGCTGATCCTGGCTACGTGTCCTGGCCAGGCGGGGTGGGGTGGGGGGGAGGCGGCTCTTTGGCGGCAGCGCCCGCGCGGCTGGCCCCGCGCCCTGCACTAGCAAGCCCTTACCGCTGGGGGGCGAGCGAGCAGCGCCCTCCCGGAGAGCCTGACCGTGGGTGGGGCGACCCGGCAGCTCCCCCCTGTAATCTACCCCCCAGGGCAAGACGGAGCGTTCTTCTTCACTTCTGCGCCCTCCCCCCGCCCCGCCCATCTAGAACACCATCTCAGAGTTGTCTTAATCCCCGCGGTCCTGGTAAAGGACGGGGCCTCTCTGTGTTTGTGGTTAGGTGCGGAAACTCGAGTCCGGCTGGGCTGGCGACTGTGCTGCTGCCCCCGGCCCCATGTTCCACGGAGGGGAGAGCCCCTCTCAGTCAGGGGAGGAAGAGTGAATCTCCCTCTGTGCTGGAAGTGAGAACTTGGAGCTTTGGACCGTCAGACCTCCCTGGGGCGGTGGGAGGAAGCTGTGGGCTGCCAGGCGAGAGAGGTAGAGAGAATCGCCAGGGCGGAGCCCAGGAAGCAGCCAGCTGCTGAGTGGGGGCAGAGGGGGGCTGTCCTGGAGGTCCAGGTGCAGAGAACGCCGGTGTGACCGAGCGGCCAGGGCCAAGGAGCTGACCTGAAGGGAGGGCTGGAAAATCGTCCAGGTGGTGGGAGTTGTGGGCGGGGTCAGGTGCCTCCTTCCCCCAAGGGTAGGCAGCAGGGAGCAAGACAGGCAGGTGCACACACACAAGAAAGCTCCGATGCAGGGAAACAAGCACCAGGTTACCAGGTACACGGGCCCTCTGTGATGAGCAGGGCCTGGGGTTGTGAAGACAGGTGTCTGCTGTGAGCTGGTGATTGCTGGGGCTCTGCGCTGTGAAGCGTGGGGGCTGGGCTGACGAGTGTCTCTGTGTCTTGCGTGTCTTTCTCTCACTGTCCCTCCAGTGCCCATGCTGCACATGTCTTGCAACGTATTAGTCTAATTCTCCCTGATAATCGCCCCCGCAATGCATCCTGTGTAAGTGGAAAGTGCTCCCTTGGGGTGCATGGCGAGGAGTCAGCTAGGTAGGTGTGTGAAAGGTCCTCATGCCGCCTTCGACTCTTGACCGCACAGTTCTACTCCCGTCAGAACAAGACATGCTTTTTTGCAAACAGAAGTCTGGCAGCTGCATGTTTGGGGGTCCACTTGGA